TCAATGGCACATAACAACAACAACAACAACTGTGATTTTCTGAGAGCTGGACAATAGGGATGACAGAAGAAGTGATGCCTTTGAGCATTGTTGAATGTTGGATAAGGGCACTGAACATCCCACAGATGGCCAAAAGAGCAAACAGATATGTCTTAGAGATGGTGCAGCCAGAGTGCTCTTTCGAGGCAAGAATTATGAGACTTCACCTCACATACTTTGGACATGTTGCTAGGAAGTGCTATTCCTTGGAGAAGGACATGATGCTGGGAAGGGTGGAAGGTTAGCAAAGAAAGGAAGACCCTCAACCAGGTGGATTGACACGGTGACTGCTGCAATGGGCTCTTATGTGTCAGGAAGTGAAGATGGCACAAAATAGGACAGGGTTCCGATCCGTTATTTACAGGGTGACTATGAGTCATACTCGACGGCACCTAACAACAACAATAATTGTGACCTGCATGTTGCTGTGATGTGGAAGTTATTCCACTGGTATTTCAAACCCATCCCACAGTAGATAGGTTTGAGTGATGCTTCCAAACTCAGACAGAGTAAATGCAGGACTGACCATCCACTCCCAAAATAATAGGCCTACAAAAAGTCTATGAGCAATGAAAGGATATTGTATATCATGCTGGAAGAAGAGCCACTCAGGTTTAGAAGAAAAAAATGCAAGTAGAGTCTTCCATCATCATTCAGATAAAGTACAACTTTCAGTCCATGAAGGACCTTCACTTGCTGAAGTGAAAAGATTCAAAATGAGGAGAAACAGCTGCAAACAGCTAATTTTCTATTCCAGTGGATTTTTTCCATTTCCATTTCCAAAACCCCAGTGGAAAGTTTCAATTCCATTGGAACATGGACTGGAATGTATGAATAAAAATCTAGGAAAATTGGAAGTTGTCTAAAATTAAAAGGAATGCATAAAGATAGCCTGAGACACATTGATTATTGGTTGTTTTGAATGAGACAATCACATGATCTACTATACTGGAAATGACAAATTGAAGAGGAATGGTGTGGCATTCATCATCAAACAGTATTTCAAGATCTAGTGTAAAGTAAAATGCTGTGATATGATACTATCCATATGCATATAAGGAAATTCTGTTAATATAATCATTGCTTAACTACACACACCAACAATGAAAGCCCAAAGTTAAGGAATTGAGGATTTCTACCAACTTTCACAGTTTGAAATCAATCGAACATGCAATCAATAGGCATAAATAAAACTTGGTGACTAGAGTTCTGGTGGCCTAGTGGCAAGAAGCTGCACTGCAATACCAGAGGTACACGGTTCGGGCCACAAGCATCTCCACAGAAGAAGAATGGGCAATATCCTCCCGTGCAATTAGCTGCCTCTGAAAAACCACCAGACAGTAAGCTATGGGTTGGTTCCAACTCTATGGTACACAGCAAGAACAATAACGAAAAAGCTGGAAACAAGAAAAGACTGGTAGTTGGAAAATATAATCTTAGAAGGAGAAAAGAAAATACAGTCCTGGTGACAGAAATGAAACTAGAAATTTAATGATAGAATTTTATACAATGAATGATTTTATTAATTACAAATATTTTGCTTTAAAAACAAAGGGAAATACATTTTTAAATGAAAAAAAACCCCACAGCAAAACATAAAGGGGAAACTGGACACATGAACGTCATTTGATGGATTACAAAGAATCAAACTGACTGCATCTGTGAAAAGAATAGTTGGAGACACTCAGCATTATTATCAGTCAAAATCAAGCAGGTGCTAGCCATGGAACAGACCATCAGCTACTCATGTGCAAGTTCAAACTGAAACTGAAGAACATGAAAACAAGTTCACTAGAACCAACATATGACCTTGAGTGTATTCCAACTGAATTTGAATCCATCTTAAAAATAGATTTAACAAGATAAACACTACAACTGAAGACCAGAGGAGTTGTGGAATGACATCAAGGGTCTCATTCATGAAGAATGTAAAAATTCATTACAAAGATAGAGAAGAAAGAAAAGCCCAAAACGGATGGCAGAAGAGACGTTGAAACTTTCATTGGAGTGAAAAGAAGTCAAAACAAGAGGAAAGAACGTTGATGTAAGAGAAAATTTCAAAGGGCAGTTCAAGAAGACAAGTCAAAGTATTAGCATGAAATGAGCAAAGAGTTGGAGTTAAAACCAGAAGAGAAGACACATACTCAGCATTTCTGAAGCTGAAATAACTGAAGAACAAATTCAAACTTTGAGTGACAACACTAAAGGATTCTATGGGCAAAATCTTGAATGATGCAAGAAGCATAAAAAGAAGATAAAGGAAATACACAGAGCCACTGAACCACAAAAACCCCTTGTCAACACTGAACTATTTCAGGAAGCAACATATAATCAAGAGCCAGTAGTAATGATGGCATTGGCAAAAAATAAGGCCCCAGGAACTGATGGAAAATACCAGTTGAAGTGTTTCAGGAAACAGATGCAACTCTGGACTTGTTTATAGATATGGAAGAGATCCATATTTGTTCTAACTCCAAAAAAAAAGTGGAATTTCCAAAAGAATATGAAAATCATTGAACAATATCATTAATGTCACAAGTAAGTAAAATCTTTCTGAATATTATTAAAAAATTGATAGAACAGTACATTGACAAGAAACTGCCAGAAATTAAAGGTGAATTTAGAAGAGGCCATGACACCAGGGCTATCACTGCTGATGTCAGATGTATTTTTGCTGAAAGTTGAAAATACCAGAAAGATATTTGTGTTTTATTGACTATGTAAAGGCATGTGACTGTTTGGATCACAACAAATTATGGCTAATATTGAGAGGAATGGGAATCCCAAAGCACTTAATTGTGCTCAAGAAAAACTTACACCCATACCAACACACTGTGGTCTGAAAAGAACAAGGAGATAAAACATGGTTTAAAATCAGGAAAAGTGTGTGCCAGGCTTGTATCAAAAAATGTGTCACACTGCTGTCAAGGACCCATGTAAAGTTCTAAAGAAAAAGACTAAAGTATGCCAGGTCCAAGGCATAATGGTTTCAATTGCTTCTTATCCATCTGTAAGTTGGGCAGTGATTAAGAATGACAGAAGAACTGATGTCTTTAAATTGCGGTGTTGCCAAAGAATGAATAGTCCACGGACTGGCAAAAAACAAAAACAAATAAAACCAAAAAACAAAACAAAAAAAACCCCAAACCTGTCTTGAAGGAAATTCAACTAGAGTACTCCTCAGAAAGAAGGTTGGCAAAATGTCATCTCAATTACTTTGGCATATTTTCAAAGGAACCAGTCCCTCGGGAGAGACATCATGCTGGGGAAAGCTGAGGGTGAGTGAAAATGTGGAGAACTCTAAATAGAGTGACTACCACAGTGGGCTTGAGCATGGGAGCAGGAGGGCACAGGACAGGGCCAAGTTCAGATCTGTTGTTGACAAGGTAGTTACTTGATGGCACCTAACAACAACATCATACTGGTCAGTATTTAATGAGTTCTAGGATTTGGAGAATTTTTAAATTTTGCAACATTTATGAGAAAACTATCTGTCCTGAAGAGGGTAAAACCAGGCTGCTCCCTACAGGCAAGAATTTCGAGGCTCCATCTTACATACTTTGGACATGTGAACAGGAGTGACCAGTCCTTGGAGAAGGACATCATGCTTGGAAGAGTGGAGGGAGAGCACAGGAGAGGAAGACCCAGCATGAGATGGATTGACTCTATGACTGGAGAAATGAGATTAGGTCTGTCGGAGATGAGATTGACTCAGGATAGGGCAGGTTTCAGAGCTAACGAACATAGGGTCACTATAAGTTGCAGGCAATTTGATGGCACATAACAACATAACAACTGAGAAAAGTAGTGAAAGAAACTTAGCATCAGAATCCATATGGCAGATTCCTCAAGTTTTTTTTCTTTTTCTCAGCTACACTCAGGGCAGGTCCTCATGCATCCTCTTAGCCTCCTTTCAGCTTCCTCAGAGTATCCACAGCCCATTTTAAGACTTCAAGATTTGCCCTAGAATCATTTTACCCTAGACTTCCCATCTTAAAAAAATGTCACTTTTCCATACAAATCTTACACATTTTCCACATAATTTTTTAGTTTTCCTTAATTTCTCATCTTCGTAAATCCTTTAGTAATGACTTTTGCTGAAAAGCAACTTAACCCGTCATTTGGCTGACTTTGTTCCAATCACGTTGAAAAGTATGTAGGCCTGTTCGAATTCAGAGCTCTAAAATCCCCTCTAAAAACCTCACAAAAGTTAGGTCAACACGATTTGTTTCCTTTACAAGGACTTTCTAGCTCTTGTTTGTATTTTTCAGTTGTCTAGTGTCAGCCAACTCTAGAGAGGCAGAGAGGTGAATGAGGTTTGAGTGGAAGAAAGCTCTAATCTCTCCAGAGGGAGGGGCAACAGCATTGGTTGTTAAAAGCACAGTCTATCACTATCCCTTGAGAACTTGTTAGAAATGCAAAGTACAGCCCCCATCTCACACCCACCTACTAGATCAAGCCAAACAAGTGACTCTGTTACAAGCTGGCATTTAAGGGACTTGATGGCTCAAAGCAGTGTTCACTGGAGTAACAAACCCAGTTGGGGTTTTAGAAAGAACGGATTGAAAACAGTTCCCTTCCTCTAGCTCTAGTGACCCTCCCAGAACATGTGTCGCACCCACACGTATGCTCTTTCATTTAGCATTTACGGGTATTACTTCGCATTGCTCCACAGGGCTGACGATTTGGTGTTAGACTTGCTAATGAGCAGGAGCTTGGGCCTCCTGCTGTCACTCAGTGCAGTCGCCTTACAGTGCCAGCAGCAGACAGAACTCAGCACTCAATCTTCTGCAATCTGCTCCCAGGAAATAGGGAAAGGGAGGGTCCTCCAGTAGTGTCATTTGACACTGGCTGACGACAGCTCTTTCCCATGTTAAAGAAGTCAGAGAGACAAAGACTAAAGCAGCAGCAAACGTCTGTAAAGAGCAGCTGGATGGAAAAGGTGATGCGCACAACTTTCGCAGACTCCAACTCCAGCACCATGAACGTGTCCTTTGCCTACCTCCACTTTGCAGGCGGTTACCTGCCCTCTGACTCCAAGGACTGGAGGATCACAGTTCTGGCTCTCTTGGTGGCTGTCTGCCTGGTGGGCTTCGTGGGAAACCTGTGTGTGATTGGCATCCTCCTACACAGTGCTTGGAAAGGAAGGTCATCTATGATCCATTCTCTGATTCTGAATCTGAGCCTGGCTGATCTCTCCCTCCTGCTATTTTCTGCACCGGTCCGAGCGAGGGCATACTCCAAAGCCGTCTGGGACCTAGGCTGGTTTGTCTGCAAATCCTCAGACTGGTTCATCCACACATGCATGGCAGCCAAGAGCTTGACAATCATAGCAGCAGCCAAAGTGTGCTTCATGTACACACGCAACCCGGCCAAGCAAGTGAGTATTCACAACTGCACCATCTTGTCCATAGTGGTGGTCATCTGGTCTGCGGCCAGCCTCCTAGCTCTGCCTGAATGGTTTTTTAGCACCACCAGACATCACGCAGGTGTGGACATGTGCATCATGGATGTGCCTGCTGTAGCTGAAGACTTCATGTCTATGTTTGGTAAGCTCTACCCTCTCCTGGTATTTTGCCTTCCATTACTCTTCGCCAGCTTTTATTTTTGGAAAGCTTATAGCCAATGTCAGAAACGAACTAAAACTCAGAATCTCAGAAATCAGATCCGCTCGAAACAACTCACAGTAATGTTACTGAGCATTGCAATCACCTCCGCAATTCTGTGGCTGCCCGAATGGACAGCATGGCTGTGGGTATGGCATCTCAAGGCTGGAGGTCCAAGCCCACCACAAGGCTTCATAGCCCTGTCTCAAGTCCTAATGTTTTCCATCTCTTCAGCAAATCCCCTGATTTTTCTTGTCATGTCAGAAGAGTTCAGGGAAGGCTTGAAAGGTTTATGGAAATGGATGATGACCAAAAATCCTCCAACTGCCTCAGAGTCTCAGGAAACAGCCGCTGGCAACCCAGAGGTCCTTCCTAGCAATGTCCTATCTCTTCCATCCCAAATCCTTACTCCAGAGAAAGAGAAACCTGGCTCGCTCTCTTCTGGAAAAGAGAATGCTGAGAAGGGAGAGATTCCTGTTCTCCCTGATGTGGAACAGTTTTGGCATGAGAGGGACTCAGTCCCTTCTGCACAACAGAATGACCCTATCCCCTGGGAACATGAAGAGCAAGAGACAGGGGACTGTGATAAATAGATTGCTTCAATGCAGAACACATTGTGACTATTGTCTTTTACTTGTACTCATGTTTATCAATATTGTTGAATTTCCCATATAAATTACTGCAAAAATTAGGAACTACAAAAAAGTTTCATATTCTGCATTTTCAAATTATATAAATTAGCTAAGTAGAAGATTGTTAAGTATAATTGTAGAATTAGTACAGAGCTGTCCCTTTTAAGAACTGAATGTGTGAAGATACTTGATGTGACTACAAAGCCCAACTATTACAATGATTTTTCACAGGGCTCCCCATAGTGAGGCTGAAGTTTTGTTTTTTTCTATCAGCTTCTTCCCTGAACCTTGACATCACTTTTCATCCACATAATTAAAAGTCAATACCTACTTCCAAACAATAGATATTTTTTAACACATGGATGAATAAATGTTAATGAGTTATCATTTATTTAGTATGTATTACTTGAAAATCCACATCAGATGGTTTGTGGTTTTTTTTCCCAAATAAATAACAGAACAAACATTGAATTATTCCAATTCTGGGATAATTTCAAAGAAGGGTTATTTTGGGTTCTAGTCAATTCAAATTCTTCCTTATATAAAGCCTGAATTTTGATCTTTTTAGAGCCCTCTCAATCACCAATCTGGACTTACTGACAGAATTTGGTATTTTGATATGGAGAGAGATAAAAACGTTTTTCTCAACTGTCAACACTTTAAAAATGTAGGAGTCCTTTTTCTACTAGCTGAAGTATGTTCTTTCCTGTTAACTTATCTCAAGACAAACTATAAATTATGATTAATTACATATATTTCATTGACCCTCAAATATAAAGTGGGATGGAGAAAGTGATCTTGTGAAATGGTCTTAAACTTGCCCCTAACTATGAACTTGAAAAATATCTCAGGTTAAGTTAGAAAAATGAACCATTGTTAATGGGGCAGGGGAGATTTAAATAAAAGAAAAAGGAAATTCAAGCCACCAGAAGACAAATTTGGCTAAGAAGCTCAGAAGCAATGCAGGAAACAATAAAACTAAATTTTGTGTTCCCAAATACAAACATATCCGATAAAACAGGACAGATACATTTAATTAAAAGATAAATAAGGCATCTTATTCATAATCCCTGCTTTATACTGAACCTCTGGAGTATTTTCACTGGGGAAATCGATCAGAAATGTCTTTAGGCAAGCAAGCAGAGTTTGAAATATAAAGAATACACTATGGAACTCTATAAATACTGAGGCTCAAAAAAGGAAACAGTCTAATTAAACCTAAATATTCTAAGAATTGTTTTGTGATGAGACACTTACTCATTGGGATTATCTCCAAAATGGTCTGTGATAACTGTTTAAAGATTTTTATGTTCATTATATGTACTAAATGTAGAATGCGTGTGTGTTTGTGTGTGTATGAAAAAACTCACTTGTAAACAAATAAAAATGTTTTACTTCAGATTGTTTGGGGGAGTTTAACATTGCCTTTATCTTGAAGAATCATTTCAAAAGCATTATTTGGCATAGATCTCAGAATAAACTAAAACACATAATAAGAACCAATCAGGATGCAGGTATTAAAGTATAATTACATTTGGCATTTCATTAAGAAACCCCTGATACACCCATCAAAAAATCTATAAAGAAATTCTGACTGTTAAGGTGTATGAGTTATCAAACCCAAACACTCTAAGAATTTATCAACCCTAGGTATTTACATAAAGTTCACATAATTTCTATAGCACTTTACATATTTAGGTTAATTACTAAATTATGTAAAATAAACATCTGTAACTATGTTTATTAACAAATGAAGACATGTTAGTACTCCTTTCTTTATAAAAGTTTTTTTGCTAAACCGCAATGTGACATACCAGGGAAAATAAATTACCCTATCAGTATACCGCTCACTCATTCAGTGCCATCAGGTCAGGATTAACTCAAGCAGATACTACAGTGGGTTTTCAGAGGCTGTATAAATCAAAGAGATCTACCCATCTTTCTCCCATGAAGCAGCCAGTGGATTCGAGCCACTTGCCTTTTGGTTGGCAGCAAACTCCTTACCCACTAGGCCACCTAAGCTCCCTTACTCCCTCCTTAGCATATTTTGTAAAACATTTTACTTATGCTGCACTCTTGAAAGTATCTATTCACCCCTATGAAGGGGCAGAGCAGAGGGATCTTTCTCACATGGGGAGATAAAGTTAGAATAAGCAGTTTTCAAGGTAAGTTTCAGAGTGTGATGTACATGACACATAGAATACAAAATGGCATAAATCATCAATCTTTGTATATGACAAAAACCAAGAAAACAAAGTCATTAGTATAAAGCAGTATATTGCTGAGACTAAGCATCTAAGGGTACAATCCTTCCCTTTCACTGTGCATCTAATTTTTATAATCAAACTTTTTAAAAGTATGTAAATAATCAAAAATAAACTACTTATCAATAATCATATACAATCCACATATATAAAAAGAGTTGGTTTATTGTAGTTCAAATACATAAACTGAACATTCAAACATCTTAAACTTTAGGAACAAAAGTTCAACATTCAAACAAGAGTCTAGTTTACAGGAACCAGAAATGTAATTTATTATCTAATTCAGAATATTGATAAAGATCACTTAATAGTGAATAAAATGTGTTTAACCAGCAGTCCTATTCTGGCCAACCTGTTATTATTTAATGACCGTGGTTCAATACCTGAGAAGAAATTACTAAACAAATCTTCTCTTGGGCTACATTTGGCCTATTACTGAGAGGGAGAATCAAAGCACATACGCGAACAAACAAAACTAAATTGTTTAGATACAAAGGTAAAAGCATGTTCCTTATAATCACCTTAGCCTCTGTATGGTTTTCATTTTCAGTGTTTTCCCTTTTACCCGCTTTAAAAAAACAAAGTGAAAACATAGCAAACCCTAGTTAAGGTTTTCTTGGGAGTCTGTGGTATTTCAAGTTCAAACCACAAATGTTTTTTACATCTGGCATGTGTAACACTGCTAGGAAGAACATCACCAAAATTCACTGACTTCCACACCTCATAAAAGGATGAATTTTAGCTTCAAGAGTTTAGATTTATTGGACACAGCCTATATTTGAGTATGTATGCCAGTCATGCCACATAAAGAAAAGCATAAATATTTCTGAAGTCTTGTCTGTTCAGAAACTGTTCACAAATGCTTCTCCTTCTGCTTGTCAGGTGGTTTTGCAATAGATTATTATGTAATAGTACATATTATGTAAAAATCTGAAAATTGGTTCATGCAAGCATTTTGAATTAATAGATATCCTATGGAAGAGTACTCAAAACTATTTTGTTGATCGTCTTGTGGGTTCTGAAGCTGTGGGAGGTGGAGGCGGACCCCGACGATCCAGGTCATCCACATAGGCCACAATCAGTTTCCGCCTCTCCTCTGGCACACAATCCAGCACTAGATACCGTTTGTCGTTTTGCAAAATTTTCTCTACATCTTTCAAGTGTTGATCAGATTCTTGTATTAGCTTTTTAGATCTGAAAGAGAAAGAAATCCAAGAATTACTGACTGCTGTTCACAGGTCTTTCAGAAATGAGCTGGAAATGTCCATCTAATTCCTAATTGTGTTACCATTTTTTAAAATTTTTTTTAAGAAAAATTTCACTGCAGTGGTCACCTTTGTAATTCGCCTCAGCAAAGACTCCAAGGAGTGAAAGGGCCTCAGAAGCTGAATTACCCTCCCACCCCTACTGGTGGTCCCTCCAGATCAGGGCTGAGGGTGGGTGGGTAAATCTTGCCCGTGCTGTACCTGTTCTGTGGATGAACAGAGGACTTCAGTCTGCAGGGCTGCCAATCCCAGCATCTTTCACAAGCTTTCACTTTCACATCTTTCACTAAATTAACTATAAAAATGTAGAAAGAAGTCTTACTTCACATCTAATTTAAAAGCCCAAGCTGATGCAAAACATTAAGGATCCTGACCAAAAATCCAAATGACAAAATTTCTAAAAACCACACCCTCAGCACTATCTATCCTCCCGTGCATATACCCTTAAGATGTTTCAAATTTTTCTTTTAAAGGGAAAAAAAAACAAAAAAAAACCCTGTTGCATGAAACAAAAATGGTTTCTTGCATACTGATTGGTAAGCAATGTAAAATTGTTCTCCTGCTAAATTTTTGGTAGACAACTACTGGATATGCTACAGAGAAATCTTAAACGTCACTTCATAATTAAAATGTATTATTTGAAAGTATCCAGCATTCTGACTCCTTCTGAGAAAAAGTTTTTGCTGACACAGACTATTTCAAGGTTTAGAATGGTTTAACCACACTGAATCGTCAGTCATCAGAGGCAAAGATAATTGAGCAAAGGATTTTAAAAAAAAATCTCTCCATAAAATATAATTAATCCTTAAAAAAGCAGTGAAGTTAAAACAAAGGTACGCTTAAAAAATTGGATGGGTGGGTAACACAAAATGCAAATTGATCTCTGGGCCCTTTCTTTAAAAAAGAAAAAGGAAAAAGATAGTTATTATATGGGAATATTTTCTTCTTATGCCTAAAAAGTCGTAATGTGTGTGAATGCAAAGTAGGCTTTGGCCATTAGAGTAAGGACTAGTAAGACAATGATTGCCAGTTATCAAACATTTCACTGAACATACCTATATGTTATAAATTTGGTCTCTTTCAAAAGCGTCCTAAAGTCAGCTTTGGCGGTGATGTATTTGTCTCTGATGTATTCTTCAAATTCCCTTTGCTTTTTCTGCAAAAAGACAGTAATATTAGGAACTAATAAACAAATCACCACTTCTAAAGTTAACATCAAGTAGCTATTAAACAGTACAAATTGCCTCATAGGGTTTTTAAGGCTGTATCGGCACAGAAGCAGATTACAACATCTTTGGTCCTGAGAGTGGCTAGTTGAGTTTGAACTGCCTACCTTTCATTCAGCAGTTAACACTGAACCACTGTTCCACCAGGGACATTTATGAGTGGTGACTAAAATGTGAGGGTAAGTTTGCTATGAACTATACGGTGCTATCTCATAAAGATAATCTCTCTTAATCTTCCTAATAATTTCAAAAAATACCCTTAAAAACTGAGAAAAATAAGGGACATGTTCACTTCCTGTTGCTGCTAAGTCCATATGGGTGAATTTCAACTCACTGTGAATCCTAGTGATAGAACAGGACTGTCCAACAGGGTTTTCTAAACTGTAATGTTGTCTTTCTCCTGTAGAACCACTGGATGAGTTCAAATCATCAAATTTTTGATCAGCAGCCCAGTGCTTCATTTTTACACTACAAGTGTTCCTTATATAAAGACACTAATGTAGAATTTACAGATATATCAACAAAAACACTCAAAACTTAAATAAGTTATAAAGACCATTTCTTTTTCTAGTACAGAGAATTATGAATTAAGTTAAACTAAATCTTACTCAATATTCAGAAAAGTTAGAACCAAAACTTGGATCTCAGTTCTCAGTCTATTAAGCATGTTTCATGATTCATGTGGGGAGAATATATACCTATGGGTCTGCGGAGGTCAGAACCAAAGCTAACCAGTAAAAAGAAATAAAAGATAAGGCGAGTAAATAAAATGTCAACGGAGGAATGTGCACATAGTAAACAACACCTGACAACATTCACTATTACTGACCCTACATGAGTCTACTTTCAAAACTACAACCTAGAACTGACAAGAACTAGGTATGTTGTGTGGTGTTCTGCTAGCTGGCTTAATGTCAGGACCTCTGATTCTCTAGTATTACCTGTTAACATATAAACAACCTCCATTTTTAGTTGCCATCAAGACAATTCTAACTCATGGTAGCCACACGGGTACAAGCAGACAAACTCTTCCACAGGATTTTACAGGCTGTAGTTCATCAAGCTGGTCTTTGGAAGTACTTTAGGTGAGTGTAAAATCCTCACCTTTCCATGAATAGTCAATTAGTGAACTGTCTGTGCTACCCAGAGAGCCGTTGCTGTGAGATGTTAACAAGCCCGCTCTGACTCATGACTCCCAAATCTAATAACAGGAAATGCTACCTGCCAAATCTGCTAAGATCTCAAAACACATGCTTAATCAACCTCAAGGATTAATAACTTTTTATCTTATTGTAATGTCTTGTTCTTGTATTATGCAAGAAACAAAATATAAACTTACAAAGAATTCAGGCTTATTTTTTCTTGCACTTGGTTCATTACTTAAAAGGAAAATGCTAGTGGCTGATATGTAAGAACCCAATTAAGATTTATAAACTGACAATAAATCTTTAGACAGAAAATCTTACCCTGTCACTGGAGGAGAATTTGATGCACCGAGGATCTTCCTTAATGATTTTTTTTACTTCCTTCCACGTGGATGTTAACGTAATCTTTGAAAAGACATAAATACAACTGACATTTTATAGGGGATCAAACTACAGCATATATGATATATAATAAAACTAAACACTAATCTAGTAAATCTCTTATAATGCCATATAGTAACAAGACTAAGGACATAAAAGCTGCTTTTTGGGCCTGTCATAAGAGTTAAGTTCATGGCTCTACCTTCAAGGTGACCTAAAACAATCACTTGCAAAACCAGTATTTATATAGGTGAGTAGCTGAAGAAAAAAGCAACAAACAGGCACACTGATAGACATAAAACTTAGATAACAGGGTACAAACTGCAATCAATCATCAGGAAAGGACTTCATGAAAATGTATTTTAAATCACTATAGAAAGAGATATTAAATTTAAAAACTACACAAAGACAATTTCTATAGAGATTAAGAATAGCATTAACAGTTTACGGGGGGGGGGGGAGAAAATCTAAGAACGTGAACTAGAAACCATGAATTCCAGTAACTGATCTAAAAGGCAAATATCAATCAAATCCAGTACCACTGAGTCAATTCTGAGTCATAGGGACCAAACAGCACAGTTTGTTATGTACCCTCACATCAGAATTGACTCATGGCTGCCCCTCCCGACTGTTTTCAGAGGCTGTAAATAAAATGGGAGGAGACTGCCCATCTTTTTGCCGCAGAACGGCTGGTGATTTGGTACTGCCTGCTTTTGGGCTGGCAGTCTAAGTCCTTACCACTAAGCCACCAGAGATCCCTACAGGACAGAGCAGAACTGCCCAAAAGGATCCCAGGCTGTAAATATTTACAGAAGCAGACTATCACATCTTATTCCTCATAAGGTTTGTGGCTTTGAATCAATGACCTGACAGTTGTTGCATGTTTTTACTGCATCAACAAGGTATCCTGATCTTAATTATAAAAGAAGACACATTTGGAATAAAGTAGGACAAAAGAAGACTTACTGCAGAAGTTTCATCCAGAAGTTGCCTAAAGTGCTCCCTCTTCTTTTTTGTGAGTGCTTCAATGTGTTCATTAAAGAGCTTCTCTTTCTCTTCTCTTTCCAGTAAGGATCCAGATTCCCAACGGTGATCTTTCCGAAGAGTCCTTCGAGTATCAGACCATGACACATCTGAAGAACGTACCTAAAAACAAGAGATACCTATTACTATCGACCTGTCTTTTCACATTTCAATAATAAAAGGCTCACTTATCTGACTTAGGAATAATATATTTCATTTTTAAAGTCTGAGAAGTTAGAAAAGAAGCATCTTGTGATCCTACTTTAGCTAAAAAAAATCACTAAAAAACTTGCTTTATGAACTTGAAATCCTATTTCCAGTGCTCACTTGGGCTATGACTGTAGCACCAAGGAAATGTCAAAACCAAATAATTTAGGCTCACTATCAACTACATGCTAGAAGCTGACAGTACTAAATATAAGCGAAAATGAATGCAGTAAGGAAAGGGCAACCAAAGACATGACAAGCATGGCTAGTGTACTAACCAGCAGGAAAGTATGACTAATCACTAGTAAAAAGCATTAAAGATAAAAGCCACAGGACTGCTAAAGCTATGGGAGACTGAAAACAGTAAAAGGTAAAAGGAAGAGGATGTACCATTTTATTATATATTCTGTTATCTATTCTGTTAATACTGCAGACATTCTACATTTTTTTGCTAATACAACCCTCCTTTCTCACAAGATACTTCTGCAAAACCTATGCTATTACTGGTTTGTTTGTTTTCTTTAATGTTTTAAAGAAAACTGGTATAGTGGTTGTTAGGAAGAGAACTCCCAGGAGAGGCAAACAAAGGTAGATAGTGTGTAATATTCAACCAGCATTTATCTAACACTAAAAAAAAATTAAGAATGTGTCAAGTAAATATCTGGCTCCAAGAAAAAAAATTAGGAAGACCTTACCCTTTCATCAAAAACTCACATTTTTTTAAAAGAAAAGACAGGCCACTGAGTAAACAACTACACAACTGTGTAATATATGCCACAGGAGTATCAAAGGAGTGATAAAAGGAACAGTGGAATTCAGTATACCTTGACAGTTAAAATCAGCAGAACGATAAATTCTGACTTGGTAGTTGCTGTTGCTGGGTGCTGCCGAGTCGAGTCCAAGTCATAGTGACCCTATGACAACAACATATCTGAACCCCTGCCCTTGTCCTATCCTGTGGTAGAGGCAATTTAAAGGAATCTAAGGGCTCTGGTAGTAGTTGTTCTATAGGATCAAGTTGGGCAATCTCCTCCCGTGCAATTTCCTGCTTCTGAAAACGAGGGTCGGATATGGGTTGGTTCCTACTCAACAGCACAAAACAGGTGGAGAAAGAGTTGGCAGGTATAATGGTGAACATGGAATGTGCATCAAAGGTAAGCCAGAGAGAGCTGCAACCCAAGGTAGCGCCTCTGTGGCAGTTCAAATACACTCGTAGCTCCGCAGGGGAAGGAGGAAGAATCTCCTCACTGGAGGGTCAACTGTGAGTCAATTCTAAGTTGATGACAAGGAGTTGGGATATTTTTTAGAGGGGTTGTGTGTGGTTTTTTAGGGAGCAGGCAAGAGCACCACAAATGACAAGAGGAGAGGAGCTTACATTTGACTCTAGAATTGTTGGGAGAAATGGATTCCTTGAAAGTAATCAGAAGTAACAAGATCAGATTTGTTTACACAAAGATTTCTGTGACTGTCAGGGAGAGAAATAATTCAGTAAACTACTAAAATTAATCAGAGTGTAATAAGAATTAGAACAGAAACCAGCAGAAGCAAAGGAAGAATTAAGAAGTGGTAAATATAACAAGAAAACACCACAGAGATTAGTTAGTGAAACAGTAGAAAAACCAAATACAAAACCAAAGTCATCTAGGAGCACTTCTTGGAGGGACAGAAACTTGCCCTCAATAACCCTGACAGGTAGTGTGGAAGACTATTCACTCCAGGGTCAACCAAGAGAGGATAAAACTGACAAATAGGACCCTCTAAATATTAAATCCCTGTGCACATCAAAACTTTTTTCCAACATGGTGAAAACGAAACCTACTGACTTAAGGGGGGAAGCAGAGGAGGAAGGATGGGCAAGGGGAGGTTGGGGGTTAATTACAGGGTGACATAATTTGATAAGTGAGGGGAGGGGTGGGTGAAGGAAATGGGAAAGATCCAGTGTGAAAAACAATATATACAAAGTTTGTAAGCAAACCAATATAAAATAAAAACTTTAAAAAAACAAACAAAAAGCCCACACAAAAAACCAACCAACCTACTGACTGGGAAAAAACATCTGACAGTACACCTTTTCAATCAGACAAGAGTCTCATAACAGAAGTTTACAGATTACTCGTGGACATCCAGTAGAAAAAGACCAACAATCCAATTACAAAACGGACAAAAGACAAAGCGGAAATGAAGGAAGTCATTCAGATGGGCAACAGACACAAGAAGAAATGCTCAAATCCCTGGCAATAAGACAGATGCAAATCAAACCACAATGAGAGTACATCTCACCCCAGTACCAGTGGCAAAATTTAACAGGACAGAAAGCAATAAATGTTGGAGAGGGTGTGGAGAGAGAGAGAGGCACTCTCATATACTGTTAGTGGGATTGTAAAATGGTACAATCCCTCTTAAAGACAGTTTGGCACTTCCTCAAAAGCTGAACATAGCAATTTCATATGACCCAGCTATTCCACTGCTGTAATATAACTCAAAGAAATTAGAACTGAGACACAAATGAGAGATGTACACCATATTCATAGTAGTGTTACTCACCATCACAAGAACATGCAAATAGCCCAAATGTCCAACCACAATTGAATGGATTAAGAAATTGTGGTACATTCACATAGTAAACTACAGCACAGCACTCAGGAGCAACAATTTAATTAAAAAATTACTACATAACTTGGGAGGAAGTGAAGAGTTTTATGCTGAGTGAATGAACTTCATCTCATAAGAACAAATATTGCATAAGAACATTCTTTCTTTGTTTTCTTTTTAAATTTCATTTTGTGTGTACCATCAAATCAGATCTGACTGGTACAGGAGGAGATTGGCCCTCCTTCTCCAGCACAGCATCTGGTGGATTTGAACCGCACACCTCTGGAATTGCAGTGCAGCTTCCTGCCATTAGGCCACCAGAGCTCCCAAGAACATTCTTGTAGAAATAGAAAAATAACTGGTAAAATGTGTATGAGGATCCAAGGAAAGGAGGGGTGGAGCGCAGGGGTGAAGATGGGCAGGGAGGAAATAACAGGGTCTCACGAGTGGTTTCAGGGAGGGGGCGTAAAGGAAATGGGAAAGGTCTGGTGGGGATGTGGAAACATATGGCAGTAGTTCAATGATGATTAATTTTATAAAATATAATGAATGGGAAGGATTGTATGACACACAATGTACAAGAATAGTGGGAAACACTATGTATTATGTATAAAAACTCTGTGTAAACAAACCATTATAAAGTAAAAATTAAAAAAGGAAAGTACTTTCTCCTAGGGTAAATAAATCTTCAGTGTTTTATTTCATGTGCAATAACTGCCCTAAACCATTAAGGTTAATTAAGTTTGGCATACTTTATTACTATGATAGGTAAATGTGTAATAGTTTAAGATGACTTTTATGATGAACAAAAAAGTTTTGAGTCTAGAAGATAAAGACTTTCAAGTATGTAAAACATACTTCAGAAAATGCTAAATAACTATTTGAATAGTGCTAACATCAAGGATTCAGTTCTCCAATGCCTTAAAATAACAAATTATACCTCTGATTATCCTGAGAGAACATTAAAATATTCACAACACAGTAATACAACAGATTTTTTATATTTAATACTCTGAAGGTTAATGAGTAATATTTACCATATCAGACAGAAGAGCCTTGAAATTCTGAATAGCTTCTTCTCTTTTGTGTTGTTCTCGCTCTCTATCAATTTCTTTTGTTTGTTCTGAACGAGCTTTTTGGACTTCCCGTTCTCGTTCTCGAAGGCTTGCTTCAATACGGGCTTGCCTTTCAAGCTCTTTTTCTTTCTCAGAGTCTAAGTTCT